CCTTCCTCTTCCTTCCTTCCTTCCTTCCTTCCTTCCTCTTCCTTCCTTCCTCTTCCTTCTTTCCTCTTCCTTCCTTCCTTCCCCTTCCTTCCTTCCTTCCTCTTCCTTCCTTCCTTCCTTCCTTCCTTCCTTCCTTCTGCAGTTCTTAAGTGAGCCTTGCTTAGCAACGTAAACCTTTGGGCTCAATTTCATGTCGTAAGTCAAGGACTCACTGTAAGCTCTTCTCCAGCCAAGGAAGTTGGGAAATTGAGAATTTTTTCCACCAATCCAGTGCTCGAATCCAACCACATTCTCTCTTTTCCTTTTCCAAAGAGACTCCTCTCCCTCCACCTCCGATAATTTCAAATAAAGCATCTTACGGGGCCATCCTGATGCAGCAGTATATCTCACTGTGGGAACTGTTGTCGGGGATGGAGGTGAGTCATCCTCCAGGGAAGCCTGTGCTCAGATTGGCTAGATGATGGGACTGGGAACAACAAACCACAAATCACGGCTGGGGTCCTTATTAAAGAACTCAGAATAAATCTCAGCCTTTGGATATCACTGGGCTTTGAAACTGCTGGTGTGAGATGGGTTGATAAAAGGCACACTTAAAATGGAGTCGCTGTATTTATATGCAGATATAATGAGGGGCCTGTGGAAGTTAAGTTGCTTGAAAAATCATTTGCAGGGTTAAATATGCATGTTTGAACGAGTCCTCGATCCTGTCCTTCAGGTCTGTTATTTAATGCCTTTTTAGAACAAGCAGGACAATTCTGCATCCCCGTTAGATGATTTTGTGTGGCATTTGGGGGAAAAAAAACCCTTAGCCTAGTTGTCTAAATTTTGCAACATTCAACGTGCCACAAACCTTTGCTTCTCAGCTGAAGGTTTCGGAAGAAAATAAAAAATACCGTTTCTTGATTTAGTTCCTGCAAGCAAGCACTTGATGCTTTGCTTGGTGCCTTGCATTGTTTGCGTATCCGAATCGATCGCAGATCTCCAAGTGACGAGGGGTTTAAGTCATGTTCTGTGTGTGAGCAGGAAGCCAGACATTAGCCAGGCCTGTGATAGAATTGGATCTTTGTTGCTTTGAATGAAGTGATCCATGTAGGATCCATTAATGGTTCCACTGGAAGAGGAGGTGTTATGAACACATTCACATGAAACCAAACTCTAAAGGAGAATATTTGTGCCTCAGGGTTGAAATGAGAGGTCTTTGGTGCTCTCTGAGTTTGGTTGTTTTCTTGCAGATGTTTCGTTACCCAGCTGGGTAACGTCATCAGTGCTAGCAGGGAGTGGGGTTTGCAGAGGGGAGGAGGAGAAGAGGAGGAGGAGGAGGAGGACGGTGATGACTGTGGGTTCCTTGGTGCTCTCTGACCTTGGTTGCTTTCTCGCAGATGTTCCATTACCCAATCTAGGTAACTTCATCAGTGCTAGAAAGGACTTGTAGGTAAACAGATAGTAAATCCCACTCCCTTCTAGCACTGATGATGTTACATAGTTGGGGTACTGAAATGTCTACCAGAAAACAGCCAAGCTCAAAAAACACCAAGGACCCTCCAAGCAAACTCTACCCCTGTTTATATTTTTATTCTTTTCTCTCCTTATCGTCAACGTCGTGTTAGCTTATTATGGAGCTGTGTCTGTTTCATGAACCCATGAAGGGAAAAAAAAACAACACCCCACCTTATTTCTTAGCAGTTGCTGTTAGGATCCTGTTCTGGTTTCTCTTCTGCAGATTGTGAAGTCAGAATACCCCATCAACATGGAGAACCTACCAGTCAACAATGGCAATGGACAGGCCTTTGGCTACACCCTTTATGAGACGGTCATCCTTGGCGGAGGAATGCTGTATTCGCGTGACTACATCCGAGACCGAGCAGAGGTGAGGATGGATGTGCGAGATTTACTGCCTTTTTCTGGGAGGGAAAAGCTGGCTAGATCTTAGTTAACTCATAATTTACTCTTGGATCAAGGTGACTTTCGTGGAGTGAACATATTGAAGCTCTGGTGACTTCATAATTACCAGTTGCTCTTGTCATTTGGCCCTAATTGCACACACAATTTTCAGTTGAGTTCAGAAGCTTGGTCTTTAGTATGGACTGCCCTGTCTAGACCATGTTCTAAAAGGCTTCCCTTTAACTCAGGGGTCTTCAAACGTGGCCCTTTTATGACGTGTGGACTTCAACTCCCAGAATTCTTCAGCCAGCCTGGTTGGCTGGCTGAGGAATTCTGGGAGTTGAAGTCCACACGTCATAAAAGGGCCACGTTTGAAGACCGCTGCTTTAACTATTGATCCACTGAGCTAGGTTTGAATGCCAATTACCTACTGAAGCTTTAAAAATACAGAGAGAGGTTTGCTATTACAATTTACAGAATACCTTTAAAAGTAGAAAATATTTTTATTTTTGTGGAGCAACTGGATGGTCATAACCTGCTAATTGTAACTACTGAGGCTGAATAATCCAGGCTTTTTAATTAATTTTCCCTCGTTCTATTTGCATCTATAATCTGTTTAAATGATTATAGTAACACGGCTACATCTAGTGCTTGGATCCACAACTGGAATTCTCCCCAGGTACTTCTGCTCTTTTCATGTTACAATGTCTAAATCCTCCACTAGTTTCCTGATTTTTGTGAAAGTTAAAAGAATCTATTTTTTTGTCTGCTTTTTTTTTTCTCCTGCAGGTGTTTATTAATACTCGATATATTGGTCACCTTGATTACAACGTACAGGAGCTGTCCATTCCTAACAGGCAGGTGAGCAGTTAGAAAAAGCAGTTGGATTGGCAGGCAAGATTTTTATTTGTTTTAACCTTATTTTACCTTTTTAAGACAAGTTTATCAGAGCCAGTGACCAGCTTTGCTGCCAAGCTTATTCAGATTAGTAAGCGATCACCTATGCTAGAATAAAATGTCTGTAGAGTCAGTTCTTGAAGGATGCAAGTATAACCTACAATTCACTAGCTCAGATGTCCCTATCCCGGTTGTAGTCCTCAACTTACAACAATTTGTTTAGTGACGGTTCAAAGCTACAGCGGCACTGGAAAATGTAACTTGTGACCGTTTTTCACCCTTGCGACCTTTGCAGCATCCCCATGATTGTGTGATTTTTCTGATTTTTCCTCTTCCAAACATTCGGGTATTTCCTTTTTTCTTATGCCCTGCAGGGATATAGACAGCTGCAAATCTTAGTAGAGAACTGTGGCCGAGTCAACTACGGNAGATTTGGGGGGGGGGGGGGCGAGAGCTCTCCTTCCAGAAAGCGGGTGCCGCGACTTAACGGGTTCATCTGATGCTTCTAAAACGGTGCAAAGTAGTCCTTGAGCCCAAAATTGATGTTGCTAAGTGAGACATTTGTTAAGTGAGTTTTGCCCCATTTTACACCTGTTTCTCAGCTCTTTCTGAACCGGGATTGGGTGGACCCCGACGTCTGTTCGGGGAGGGTGGCGGCCGGCCGTTGGTCTTGGAAGCCGGTCCTGCCTCCCCTTTGAAAGGCGATTCATCAGCTTTGGCCGTTCACCCTTGTTTCTCTTGCAGGCTTAATTGGCGACATCGTTTTCAACAAAACCTCCTTGAGGAACTTCAAGATTTACAGCCTTGAAATGAAACCGAGCTTCATGGAAAGGTTCGCTCAGCGAATCTCGCCAACGACACACACACCCTCCCCACTCCCGCCTCCCCCCCACCCACCCCCTGCTTTTTCGTTCTGGTTATTTGTTTTCCTCTTTCCTTTGTTTACTGGAATTGCACTTGGCTGAGGTCCAAATCCTAGCTAGCAGCTCCACCCGCCAGCAATCTGGCACCTGGCAAAGAATTGGACTGGTAGCTCCCAAACGTGCAGAGCCGCGCAGTGGCCCTTCTTAGCAGTGGGCATTTTTCAATATAATTTCCCCCTTTCACGCCAACTGGCACCGCCAGTGCTGATAATGGTTTGATAGATACAACTAGAATAGTCAGGCTAGAAAACAGGAGACTCTGAGTTCTGGTCCCCCCCCCATCTTCCCCAGGCATGAAACGGGTGACTTTGGGCCAGTCACCAGGAGACAGTGAGTTCTAGTTCCTCCTTAACCATGAAAACCAGCTTTGTGACTTTGACTTTGGGCCAATCTCTCACAACAAGGTTGTTGTCGTTGTGGGGGAGATAGGAGGAGGAAGGCACATTAAATATGTTTCCCACTTTGAGTTATTTATAAAAAAAAAACAGTAAAGGCCGGATATACATAAATAAAAGTTCCCAAATTACTTGAGCTTTCGGGATAAACATCAGCACTCCTCTGAAGTGGTCCTCTTGTAACTGACCATGAACAAGCCAAGTGGGCTTGGGCTGTGTCGTGTTTTGAAACTGTTAGCTGGAGAACCAAAGAAGCAGTCTTGTCTTATTATTGATGCTCTCTGAGCTTGGTTGTTTTCTTGCACACATTTCATTACGCAAACTAGGTAAGATCATCCGTGCTAAAAGGGAGTTGAGTTTGTGGAGCCGGGGAGAAGGAGAAGGGGAGGAGGAGAAGGAGGTGGAGGAGTGCTAGTCAAACTAGGTAACTAGTTTAGCACTGATGATGTTACCTAGTTGGGTAATGAAGCGTCTCAAGAAAACTCACCAAGCCCAGAGAGCACCAAGGACCCCTCATATCAACTCTGAGCTACAAATATTCTCCTTCATAGGTCGTTACTGTTTCCTGGTTACAGTACAGGGCTGGCGTAATTTTGGTCTTCCTGTTCTAAGCCCTCCTAAAAGTGGCAGGGGGGCACTTCAAGGGAGGGAGGCTGGTGGAGGAAGGAAAGGAAGAAAGCACCAGTACTAGTCGTCTAGAGGCCTCTGGCTTGATAATAGCAATCACAGAGGTAGGCACTTCAAAGCTGTAATAGCTGGGAGGCACCCTTGAGGCCATCAGTTCCAACTCCTGCTGCCTGCAGAAATCCGTATAAATGCTAGCTTGACAAATGGCTCTTTTGTTCTTTCCTTCCTCTCAAAATATCCAGAGGGGGACTATTTTGATCTAGTTAACAATCCTCAGGAAGGTACAGACCAATTTGGCATTCAGCCCCCCCCACCCCGATCCAAACAGTTGAAATTTGTTGTCAGCAGGGATGATGGTTTGAACACCAATTCACAGAACACAACAGCTGCAGACGAAGTTCCCAGAATTGTAAAATACCACAATGGCAAAAGTTAGAAGGAGCCACGCGGCAATTAAACACAGCCTCCTGCTTAGCGCAGGGATCCAAAACGCACCTGCCGGATGGCTGGCTGAGCTCACCTTGAAGGTGTTCATCAAGAGGAGCCCTTCACCTCTATCCGTCGCTGGTTACTTTGGTGAACATTTCTTAGTCGTTCTGTGGGGTCTTTGGTGCCCTCTGAGCTTGGTTTTCTTACAGACATTTCATGACCCAACTAGGTAATGTTATCAGCACTGATGAGGATACCTAGTTTGGGTAAGGAAACGTCTGCAAGAAAACCACCAAGCTCAGAGAGCACCATGGTCCCCTCAAGCAAGATTTAGCTACGTCAGGACTGATAGGGGTTGCTGATGGATTTTTCTCCTGGAGATCCCTTTGAGGAATCTTTCCTTTCTCCCACAGTCTGCGTGGAGCATCTCCTTGGAGTGCCATCCCTGACAGCGCGGTGGGCCCCGCGTTCTTCCGAGGAACACTCCAAATACAGTATATGCCCCAAGATACTTTCCTGAAGCTCGAGGTAAGTTGTGTAAAAAGAGATGTACAGATGTAGGATAAACCTCGCTCTCAAAATTTCTCCCAGAGGTCCTTTAGGATAGAGGCCTACCACCGTTCTGTTGAGCCGTGGACTCAACTAATGGTACTGGAGGACACAGAGGTTAACTTGCAAGCCTACTTTATAGAGTTATGCAAATTAGAATATGCACATGATTGGATAGGTCTGGTAGCCCTTCATGTGTTTGGTGAGGTCAGTGAGAGAATTAGGGCAGAACTATGTGGTGGCGGGGGAACAAGTTATTTCATGAACCAAGTTTGCTTCTAGGGCAGTGTTTCCCAACCTTGGCAACTTTAAGATGTCTGGACTTCAACTCCCAGAATTCCCCAACGGGCTATGCAGCGGAAGTCCACACATCCTAAAAGCTGCCAAGGTTGCGAAATAGTATTCTAGGGCAAGGGTCCCCAACCCCCGGTCTGTGGACCAGTACCGGGCTGCGACACGCCAGCAACCGGTCCACACAAACAAGCAAAGCCCCATCCGCGGGATGCAGGCAGCACACAAAACCATACACCCTCCGGTCTGCGGAAAAACCTCTCTCCACGGAACCGGTCCCTGGTGCCCAAAAGGTTGGGGACCTCTGTTCTAGGGAGTTACTTTTATGGGTTCCTGTTATACTCGTCTCTGGCCTGGTTCTCCCAGATTGATCAACTTTCTTAGCCTTCTAACGTTTTGTGGATTGTTTCTCAGTCACTGTGAAGGTCATTAGGGTGGAGACGTCCTTGTGGTGTTTTACTTGCCCAAATCGGCAACTTCTTTTCTCTTCCATGGAGGCAAGAAACAGAAAAACCCTCTGTTTGTAAGGATCCTGGGATTCTTTCAGGTTAGCAGGAACGTTCGTTCATCCTCATCCAACTTCACGAGTTGCAGAATTGACAGGAATATGCGTAGTCGGCTTGCACAAGGACAGTCAGCCCTCTGTGGTCTGGATTTATTTAATCCTGCTTCTTCTAGGTGAAATTTTCTTAATTGCGCCTCAGTTTGTGTGCCCTATCAGCATTTTGTGGTGGTGGGGCACCAGAAGAGAAAGAAAACAACTGGACGACCAATTGTATGTTTCCAGTTAGTATTCTTTCCATGCAGTTGAGATTGACCTGCTGTTCTGTTAGATAAAATGTGTTGACAACAGTCTAAAAGGCGAGCTTTGCTCAGAATACTTAATTGTAATGAATATGCATTTGTCTTCTTCTTTTCTTAGTTTTTGCAGCAGGAACTAGAAAAATATGTTGGCGCTTCTAGCACCGCTGCAGTAGTTTCACGTTTCATCATTGGTTACCTGTAAAGGCACTAGATCCATTGCACAATGTTGACATCTTGATCCACCGTAGTGAGATCCCCTTTTGTGTTTCCAGGGCTGGGAAAAGGGAGTTGTCTTTGTCAATGGCCAGAACCTGGGTCGCTACTGGAAAATTGGTCCTCAGGAAACCCTCTACCTCCCGGGAACCTGGCTCCAACAAGGGTACAACGAAGTGAGTCGCTTGATTTGAACCCTGTTCTCTTTTTTTTCATGTCTCTCAATATACTCAGAACCAGTTTGGTCTAATGGTGAAGATACCAAGTTAGAAACCAGGAGATTTGGAATTCTAGTCCCACTAGGCGTGAAAGCTGTTTGGATGATTTTGAGGCAATCACCAGGAGATTGGAAGATTTAGTCCCGCTTTAGGCATGAAAACTGGCTGGGTGACCTTGAGCCAATCATTAGGAGACTGAGTTCTAGTCCTACCTTCGGCATGCAAAGTGGCTGGGTGACTTTGGGCCAATCACCAGGAGACTGGGAGTTCTAGTCCTGCCCTAGGCATGAAAACTGGCTGGGTGACTTTGAGCCCATCACTAGGAGACTGAATTTTAGTTCTACTTTAGGTATGAAAGCCAATTGGGTGATTTTGAGCCAGTCACTAGGAGACTGTGACTTCTAGTCTTGCCTTAGGCATGAAAGCCAGTTGGGTGATTTTGGGGCAGTCCCTCTCTCTCTCAGCCCAACCCACCTCACAGGACTGATGTCATGGGGGAAATGGGAAGGAGTATGTGCAGAATTGCCCCAAAGGAGCTCATTCTTTCATCTGAGCAAGGTTGTTCCTTCTCTTCTCTTCTCTTCTCTTCTCTTCTCTTCTCTTCTCTAGATCATTATATTTGAGGAGCGTCTTGGAGGCCGTATCATCCATTCCACAGATCTGGCCTTCTTGGGAAGGGTTCAGTATGTGACCTGAGCTGTTCCTGATTGTCCCACCCTCTACTGATAGTAATGGTTAAGGTTATGCTTCTTAACTGATTGTGGGAGGTCAAAGAGTCTCGAGGCAGACCTTCCTCCCTCCCATTGTGAAAACTGTGCCCTGTATCCTTATATTTTCTAGTTAAGGGTGGAGTTTGGCCAAAGAAGGCCCACCTGGTGAGTTAATTTAGGAGGTTGACTAAGCGTACTTGAAGACAGATGCCCAGGTAGCTAGGAAGGTTCTCCCAAAGGAACTCAACTTCACTACAAGTTCTTGTGTCCTGCAACACTAGATGCTAAGGACCTGACAAAGGAACGAATGTCCGCAAGTCATGGGAGATCCGATGGATTGAAACCGCCGATCTGCAATGGTTTGATCGGGATCCTCCTTTAGATTGTGGCTGGAAAAGGAATGTCTTTGCATCTCTAGTAGTCCACGTTGGGTTTTTTTACACAATTGCCAGTCTTAACTCCCTGATCTGGTTGTTGGGCAGGCTGTGGAGGAATGTTGTTTTTACCGCTTTGCATTCCTTGGGTCATTCCAACCCAGATCTTAAAAGGAAGGAACGCCACGTTTGGGCCACCAATGGGGACATCATGCAGAGACAGTGGAAACTACATTTCAGTGACATGCCACGGATTTTGGGGGGAGGGGGCTGGAATTGGGCTTCTTCCAAGCTGCAAGGAACGCCTGTAACATCTGAAGCCCCTTGCCCCACGCCCCTTGCAGTTTTCCCCAGCTGAACCACAGGTTCTTGAGGTCACAAACCACAAAGGGTGAATGCTGGGCCAGGGGTGGGTGGGATTGGGATGTATCTTTACACCAAGACGTGGCATGAACTAATCTATTGCTAAATTTTAGGAGCACCCTCTGGAGCCAGGAAGGAGCTTCAACAGAAGCCCCCACGGGTAGAACCCCACCCCCTTCCCAAGACCAGCCCAAAACAGTGCTGTTTCAGAAAATAAACACGTCCCAGCAAAACCAAAAACTTCTACACAATGCTCCCCAACTAGGTTGAGATTCTGCGCAGTGTGCTTCGGTCCTTTGCAAAAGGTGCCCCACCCTCAGCAAATTGGGACTGCAACTCTTGATATCCCCAGCCACTTTATCTTTCTGGACTGGGTCTCGTAAGGGGCACCGGTCCCAGTCTGAACAGAGGCCTCTGCTTCAGAGATAATCCTCAGATTATGACCGCTTGCATTGAGAGTCAACTCGGCCACCTCTCTTGCTTCTGAGGGAGGGTCTGGGGGACTTGGGGATTCAACCTGAAGGCGTACTTGAGTGCGTTGCTGAATAATTAGTCAAAGGAGAGGAATTGGACCTGTTTTAAAAATGACCTTTTTCATGTGCTTTTTTCTTTAAAAAAGAGAAAAGGCAACATGGATGCATTCCCCAGTAGGATGCCCTCCAGGGCTTTGAGGCACAACCTATCACCCCAGAAGGCCAGTGGATGATGGATCTTGTATCCCTATCCTTGTGGGAAGCACCGGTTGGAAGAAGCTGCTGTAAGCCATAAACACCCAGTCTCTGTGCACCTTGCTGTCTCTTCCTCCTTCCATCATTAATCAAAAACTCAGTTTCTCTGATGGAGCTAAGCGTTGTGTAGCCGTGGGCACAATTGGTGTCAGTGTCCTCCTCTAGCCAGCCTGCCATTGGTTGTGTCTTGCAGGCCCAGACCCACACCCAAAAGAAGTTTGGCACTTGCTTTTCCAGCAATTGTTCAGGTTTATCATCAGGATGCAGTTGAATTGTGATCCTGGCCCTCTCCTTTACAGGTTAACCCTCCAGCACAGGTATGTCCAACCTTGGCCACATTAAGTGGCTGGTTGGCTGGGGAATTCTGGGAGTTGAAGTCCACAGGTCTTAATGTGGCCAAGGTTGGAGACTCCTGTTCTGGAAGGTTAACCTGTAAAGGGGAGGGCCAGGATCACAATTCAACTGCATCCTGACAATCAGCCTGAACAACTGCTGGAAAAGCAAGCGCCAAGTGATGTTGAGGTCTTTCTGGCTGTTCAAAACCATTTTTCATTCTATTTATGAAATTAACTGTATGAAATTGAAAATATAAGAAGAGTGCAACTGTAAAAACAGAAGCCAAAGTGGTGGGGGGGGGAGCCCACCCTTTCCACCTGTTCTGTGCATCCTGATAGCAAAGATTTGAACCTTTGACACATCCTGAGCATATCACCGCCTGCCCTCCACCACATGCTCCGGGAGGAAATTGGGATAAATCATTACAATTTTCTTTTTGGTCTATGATTTACTGCAGCCTGGCAGAGTTTTAGTCATACAGTGGAGAGAGAGAGGAAGGGTGAAAGAAAACACACACAGACACACCAGCAGAAAGAATGGCGATTGAAAAAAAACACGCGGTGCTGAGAAAACCAAATTTCCTTTTTTTAAAAAAAAAAAATGCTTCTCGTTTCCCCTTCAATCAAAGGTTTGGGCTGGTGTTCTGTTTTGAAAGGCGGTGACTATAAATTCTGTATCGTTGGATGTGAATTTTACTCAAATGCTGTTTTCTCTTCCCCCACCGACACTGACCCGGGTTTTGAATTTTTTCATCAAGTCGTCTTAAGGCCTAGTTGGTTTGTTGGTTCGGTTTTTTCCCCGTGTCTGGTTTGCTAGATATTTGTAATAAAGGGGAAAAAAGGAAAAAAAAAAGAAAATCTGTCTCTATTATTATTATCTTATTGGTACCATGTTTGTTTTCCTTATTGCGAGAGGTCTGCCTTTAGTCCCAAGCATGATTTGAGTCCACCCCGGCTTACGCATCTTAGTCACTCAGGTGAAAGGTTAAAAAATAAGCCTATTTTTTTTGCTGTACAATTTTACATTCCTTTCCTTTCAGCCTGAAGATATAGTTGTGCTTTGCATTTTTAAATGTGTGTAAAAGGCAGAGGCAGGAGATTATATGAGCTGCCTTCCTGATCTCCTTTTATTCCAACTCTGATGACGTCGGTAGTTTGGCCTGACGAAAGCTTAGTGACTCTTTTTAACCACAGGCTTGTTTATATTAAACAGTCTGGTTTATTATATCCCGGTGTTCATTTTTCTTTCTTATTTTGTTAACATAATGCCCAGGATTCGCATTTTTAGCATTTTGATTGATTGAGATGGAAACAAAATAATAATAATAATCAGGATCCAGTACAGGGAGCCCTCGACTTAACAATTAGTCATTTAGTGACCATTCAAAGTTACAATGGCACTGAAAAAAGTGACTTACGATGGTTTTCACACTTACGACCATTGCAGCATCCCCAGAGTCATGTAATCAAAATTCAGACGCTTGACAACTGACATGTACTTATGACGGTTGCAAGTGTCCCGGGATCACGTGATCCCCTTTTGCGATCTTCAGATGAGCAAAATCAATGGGGGAAAAGTCTACAAGAGGCAGAGCGGCTGATTTTTCTAAAAACCTCTCCCAACTTCTTTTTTTAAAAAAAAAACACAGGGCGTAATTCGATTTAATTCATTTTTGCGCCGCTGAAGTTTTGACCATCGTTCCAGAGCAAGACAAAATGCAAAGATGGTTACCATCTTACCAGCAAGCTCATGCATATCCCTCATTATGCAACCCCCAAATCTTTATATCCACATAATTTCAGTGTGTGCCAGGAAGAATAAGCCTTTTTAATTGCCGGGGTGTGTAGCAAGGCACCACGTTCTGCTATTTCCCCCTGTTCTATGCCATCTTTTCTGTACATTGCTTTTTGCTCAGGATAAGCTGGGGGGAAAAAACCCTCTTAAATTGTGCCATTAAATTTCAAGCCCGCTTTACAATATAAGCAGATAAAAGTTTTAAATGCACCTTTCTGGATGCAGGACCTTAAGCACAGAAAGAGAGGCTGTGTGAGCTATTGTACTACCTGCAGGAGTTGTATCTGTGTGTACGTGTTTGTGTGTGTACACGTGTGCACGCCTCTCTATGAAGGAACAATAAAAAAACAATAACATCCATCAATATGAAATAATGAATGTTGACACCTCATTCAGTCTAGGGCACTATTTCTCAACCTTGGCAACTTTGAGCTGTGAGGACTTCAACTCCCAGAATTCCCCAGCCAGCATGGCTGGCTGGGGAATTCTGGGACTTGAAGTCCTCACAGCTCAAAGTTGCCAAGGTTGAGAAATAATATGCAAATAGGTTTTTTTTTTTAAAGAAAAGTGGACTTCATCTCCCAGAACTCCCCAGCCAGCATGTTTCAGACAGATTGCCCGAGGGTGTTTATAGCACGTATCAATTCCCCTTCTAATTCTCCTGTTCTACTATCTAGGGCAGATGATTGAGGAAGCTGACCAATCCATAACCTGGCTTTTGCCCTCTTGCTGATTTTGCATTGCTCTCGTTTCACTAACGGCCCTTGGGGAGTCCCGCACCTCTATCGCTCTGCTTTTTATCTGTTGTTGTTTCATTTCATTTTATTGGATCGTTTTCCAGAAGGTCAGGCATAAGTGAGCTGTTGTTGTTTTTTTAAATACTGATTTATTAATTTATTGATCTCCATTTTTTTTTTTTACCCCTCTGTGCAAGAACCCAAGCTGTTCTCTGGTATATGGAGCAATTCGCCTGGGTGGTTTTCCTCTGGTTGATCAAGGGCCCAGTTTGAGTCTGGAATCGGGGTGGGAACAGACTGCAAATAGAAAAAAAAAAAATGGGCTTCAGTGTCCCACTTGAGCTGCAGTTAGGAGCAGAAAGTTGACTTTTTTTTCCAAAGCAAACCCTTATTCATATCTTAGTTGGTGGCCTGCCACAAAGAAGAGGAGGGGGGGTCAACCTATTCTCCAAAGCGCCTGAAGGCAGGACAAGAAGCAAAGGATGGAAACTATTCAAGGAGAGAAGCAACCTGGAACTAAGGAGAAACTTCCTGACAGTGAGAACAATTATTCAGTGGAACAACCTGCCTCCAGAAGCTGTGAATGCTCCTACACTGGAAGTCTTTAACAAGAGATTGGGCAGCCGTCTGTCTGAAATGGTGTAAGGTTTCCTG